CTGAAGTTTGGTTTCAGTGTACTTGTATGAACAAGGGTTCTTGCTCGATTGTTTACATTTAATAACGTCATACTGTCTGGGGATGAATCCTGTGTTTGTTTTTACACACACAGTCAGAACTGATTCCAAATACTCTTCTTTGATGAAAGTGTTTTTCTCCTTGCATTCATTTCTGCCATTGATGTTTTTCATCATTTGATCACAGGAGCCCTTTCTCACAACGACATGTTTAGTTTTGAGCTTGTCATCAGTTTTACAGAGCACAGCAGGAGAAAACAGCACCAGCAGCAAACAGGCACATTGAAACCTCATGATCCCCTGATAAAGAAAACAGAGCATTTACATTAATATTTCCTCATTCTTGTTACTGGTGTAGTAGATCTGTCATAAATTTGATATAGTGCACATCAACTGGATGACACTGATCACATTTTACTTTGGTTTTATCTGAAAATGTGTAGATTTACAGTAAAACAGTGTTGAGCCTCCATCAAAATGTTTGCGTTTATTTGATGCTCTGTAATAACAGAGCCACAGAGACACTGCTTTTGCTAAATGCAGTTTCACATACAAAAATATCGGTTACCCAGCACTCTACCTTTCTTTGTTTTTGCTTGTAGTTGTTTGGTTAACTCGCAGTGGCTCAGGAATGAGTTGGTAATCTGCAAAGTGGAGCAGAATCAATAATTCAGACTTTGGTATTCAACACACGTCTTTACACCTGTGTGTGAACTTCAGTTAAGAGTTTTGTCTATCAATGAGTTTCTTTCCTATAATATATGATAAATGAATGTTCTTACCAAACATGAAGTGAAGACTGAAGACCAACAGATATTATATTTTACATTTACAAGTCATAGTTTGCCTTTGTCAGAGCGTAGACTCTGTGCACTTCCGCTTTTATACATAAAAGCACAAACATCTCAGATAATTATTTGCATCACTTTTGCAACCTTCCTGAGACACTTTAGCACTTCTCTATTTGTGATTAGGAAACAATGCAACTGTCACAACAAATGACCACAACAGCTTGTAGACACAGTTTGCTATTCAAAGCTGGTTTTACATTAAACAAGGTATTCCTGCATGTTTGTCAGCCAAACTGTGACAGCACTTTTTCACAGCACTATATTTATATAACTGATGATTTATACAGTTCGTGCACACTCTGCTAACATATCTGGTGCAACAACAGATGAACTATGATGTGGCATTTATTCTGTGACTGACAGACTTGTGAAATGTTTTGACAGTTTGCTCATATTTCCGCATTTTAAACCAGAAGACCAGTTGCACT